CTACTAATGAACACAGTGAGAGGTGTAGGTGGAGGTGTGTGTGCTGGCTTGTCTGTCACTTGACACATGTGGCAACGTCGCACATGATCAGCTACTGTTTCCTTCATCTTTGGCCAAGTAAAATGCTTTGCCAGTTTACCGAGTGTCTTCTTGACACCCAAATGTCCTCCTATGGGACTATTGTGAGCAAAATCAATGGCTTGTTCACGAAATGTTACTGGTAACACTACGAGATGCTTGACTGTGGTGGAAACACTATCAGCTGACAACTTACATGTATTTTTCTCCATCAGTACACCGTTACTGTAATAGTAACAATTATCGAGATCCTTTGCTTCACTCTCAGTAACTGCTATATCTCTCAGTCTTTCCACTGACTGATCAAACTGATCCTTGATTAAATCATCATGAGTTAGAAATTTAATGTCAGTTGTGTCTTGACTAGGTTGATGTAGAAATTTAACGTCAGTTGTGTCTTGACTAGGTTGATGACACGGGGGAGTTGGTGTTAATGACTCTGGGCGCAGAGCATCACTAAACATATTCAAGCCCAAATCACTGTCATCCACTAACTCAACAGGAGACAAGGATGGTTGTTGAATCTTTGACATAGCTCTAGTAATTGCGCTGAGAGGAAATAAAATAGGTTTCTCTCTACAAGCTTCAATGGCATAATTATTATCAGTGTTATTATCAATCACAAGTGGTTCTTTACATATACCAGCATGAAGGATATCGTTCCCTATCAACAAGTCCACTGACCTGATGGGAAATACACCACTGGATATACCCACTGAAATATAACCAGTATAATAGCTTGTTTCAATATAAACTTTGTGCAAAGGTACTTTTATAACAGCCCCTCCATAGGCTTCTAACAATACATATATCTTGCAATAGGTATCATAAGTTATGGGCAGTACATCTTCTCTTAATAACGTGAGATAACTGCCAGTGTCTCTGAAAGGAATTATCTCAGTTAGATGTGATTCGTCAAATCCTACTTTACCTCTCGAAAAGTAAGGACTCATCGCTGAACGAATCTTTTCGTCAGATACACTTTCTGATGCTAGTTATCTATCCTGAGTAATATTATCTAAAACAGTAGGATCAGAGGTATTACTAGGATTCTGGTGCCTTTGTTGCTCGGAAGAGGATACGACTTGAGTGAGGGCGCCAGCCGCATGACTGCTTCTCGTATCTCTTTCTAACTTATAGCAATACTCTCTAGCATGTCCTTTTCTGTTACAATAGGTACATTTAACTTTCTTCTTCTCGATATCAGATTTCTGTCTAGACACAGAGACAGATTCAGGATTGTGAGTTTTCCTGGTAAAGGTACGAGAAGTTACAGTAGTAGGTACATCAGGCCGGCAATGAGCAGCTGATTTAGGTTGCCAACTTCTAGGACAATCTTTAGTTACCTTGTTTCTTTGTGTTTTAGTATGTACAAGTTTGTGAGAAATCTCGTAATTGTCTGCTAAAGCTGCAGTTTCCAGAATATCCGAGGTAGTATGATCGATCAGATATTCTTGTATGTCGGCAGACATACAGTTGTTAAACTCTTCATGTAGTAACAACTGAACAAGGCTGTCGTAGTTGTTACACTTGGCAGACCTACACCACCTCTCAAATGCAACTTTTTTCTCATGAGCAAACTCTACACAAGTTTGATCTTGTCGTCGTTGTAATGTACGAAATGCACGTTGATAACTTACGGGTAACATGTTATATGTCTCTAGAATAGTTTGTTTGACAGCGTCATAACTAATGTACTTGGCAAATGGTAAAGCAGCAGTACAAGTTTGAGCTCTTCCTGCCAAAGCTGTGTGCAACAAGGTAGCGCAGTGCTTACGTGGCCAGTTCATAGCATCAAAATAGGTGTCTAAGTCACTCTCAAAAAACTTAGGAACCATAGAGGCAGCTTTCTGCACATTAAATGTGTCTTGTGATCTATCAGTCTGTTGTCTTCCAAGACGAACATTTTCTCTCTGGAAATCTTCTTCGTTCAATTTCCTCTGAGCCTCTATTTGTGCAGTCTGCAACATAATGAGGCGTTCCAACCTCTCAAACTGTTCCTGAGAGATAGGACCAGTGGGTAATGGAGGAGTAAGGAAATTAACATGTCTTTCTGGACTGTCCTTAGGTCGGAAACTTCGTCCAGCCTTCCCTAGAGAGTCTAGATCTGGTCTAGGATAAGTAGATACAGGTGTATCATACACTGTACTAGCGTGAGGCTTAGTAATACTACCTAATTGTGACACTAGGCTTTCTGAATCTGAATCATAATGAGACATTTCTGTATGAGCAGGAAACAATATATCTTTAATTAACGCTCTGACAGTTTCTGCGGTGTAATTCAGGTTATACGTCACACTGAGATATTTGGCTACTCGCAAACACGTCTGAAGTTTTAATGTACTCAACTCAGACAGAGTCAGAGTATCAATTAACTGTTTCACTTTGGCATACATCACGTAAACAAGTGTACTACGAGAGAGTGATTATGGGAAACTATAATCCTAATAGGAATGTTAGTGTTAATGGTCTTAGAGCTAGAACTCATAAACAGTATTTCCATCTCCTTGGATCAAGAGACTCAGTCAGGTACATACATCCACCTGGTATGTTGTACAAGACTAAACTCAAAGTCTTCAGATTAGGAAAGTACTCAAAGTGTTTGATCATAGAGTTACTAGAATGTCAAACTGGACAATTTCTCCAACACCTTGGATCAAGAGCATCCCGGACAGGCCCCCATTTGTTACAAAAAACGCGATTCTAAAAGCTTAGAGATCTCCAGTGAATACTAGAAAGGACTGCCCTTCTAGCATCAGCCTGTTACTGGGTTTTCGTAACAAGTAGTCAGTATCCTTGTCCAATTATCCATTAGAATTCAGTATGATTCAATAGTGCTTCAGGATTACAACTGGTAGGCTACTAACTAGAGAAATTAAAATTTAATAAATTTATTAGTCATTAAGTTGTCTAGGCGTATATCAAATTAAATTAAATTATTCACAGTAATTAAAATTATTATTATTATAATCAAAAAGAAGCACTAAGCCACAAGGGCTATACAGCGCTGCAGTAATTAAAATAATATCACTTCTCTCGTTTACAGTATTATTGTGCTGAAAGCACATATCACATTTATAATTCTTAAGTACCGTCTGGTACATTAACATTTAATAAGATATTACAAATATGTACACGTAATTTTGTGTGTATGTGCGTAAGTGCTCTAAGTAGTTCGCTATGTCTCACGACTCGACTAGACTTAAACAAGTGACTGACAAAGTCCTCAAATAAACTAACTTCTTGACCAACTGGCAGTCAGAACAGTTTGCTTGAACAATAAAAAGACTGATAAGCCAAACAACAATATAACAAGCAACTGCGACACAGAATCAGGAACAAGGAGATAATATAATGACAGCTAGTAGGGACCATCAGCAGATCCTCCACAAAAGTCACAAAACTCCCATAATACTGAATCTAAGTTCAGCATAATAAAATCCCCGACTGTGATAATGCACAGATACCAGTACAAATTAAGTCAGAAGCTACAGCTCAGGACCTGAGTTGCTCAGAGTGTCTAGGCGACACAACCTCAGTACAACGTCGAAAATCACTAAGTCTATACAATGTTCATGTGAACCGAGTCCAGAACTAACAATAATGAGACAAGAGACAATCTTCCAACAAGGGCCTGTAAGGGAGATTTAGGCACTTTGGAATACGTCCAACCACCCAGCGAGTCTAGACCAGACTGAATACTTCAGGCGAGGTGAGGACACCCCCCCCCTCGATCACGTGATAGCTCCGTGGACAGCTGCAGCTTAGAAACAGAAGCCGGTAGTCTAACGAGCCACAAGCGATAATTACAGTAGTTAGACAATCAAGACTTGAACTGAGTACATAATATGTTACATCCTACCTAACCAAAGGAAGCTAAGTCAAATAACAATATAAAGCAATACATTTACTATTTAGCTATTATCGCAAATATAAGCAATATAAAATTATATGAAAAGGTAATAATTATATACATACATAATAATCATTGCAACCCATTCAGGGGTTGCAACACCCGCCCTGGTACTGTACCCTCCTGCTGTACCCGCCCTGGTACTGTACCTTCCTGCTGTACCCGCCCTGATACTGTACCCTCCTGCTGTACCCGCCCTGATACTGTACCCTCCTGCTGTACCCGCCCTGGTAACCTAATGTACCCTCCTGCTGTACCCGCCCTGGTACTGTACCTTCCTGCTGTACCCGCCCTGATACTGTACCCTCCTGCTGTACCCACCTTGGTGCCGTACTCGCCCTGGTACTGTACCCTTCTGATGTAACCACATTGCTGTATCTGGCCTGATGTATCCAGTCTGCTGTATCCGTCCTGATGTAACCAGCCTTTTGTATCTGGACTGATGTATCCAGTCTGCTGTAACCACAATTCTGTATGTGGACTGATGTATCCAGTCTGAAGTAAAACATAATGTTGTATCGGCCTGATGTATCCAGTCTGCTGTAACCACGATGCTGTATCCGGCCTGCTGCTTCTTACTGTTGTCCTTTATCACTGTATTAAGCCTGCTACTCTTTATTACAGTTCTTCAACTGTTCTCACTCGAAAATACAGTTTATTTTGTAATTTTTTCGGGCCAGCAGAAATACGATATTTTCGCTTGTAATGTTTTTTGTACGTTTTCCTCGATGAATTTACTATTATTATCATTATTGTTATTATTATTAGTGATATTTGCACACTTATGGTAAGAGAGTTGTTGAATGAATGATGGTGTATGTGATTTCTTTTCTTGAGTCATCGTTTTTGGATGGGAGACGGCCGGTGTGCTGCATTAAAACAAATAATAATAATAATATAATAATAATAATAATAATAATAACCATTGTCAACAACAGTAATAATAACAATAATACCAAATAATAACAACAGTAATAATAATAATAATGGCACCTTATTTTTCTCTCAGACGATGGTGGTGGTGAGCAAAGGAAAAGACATCTTCCGGTTCAGCGCGACTGACGCCATGTGGCTGCTGAGCCCCTTCAACTCAGTGCGACGGACAGCCATATTCATCCTCATCCATCCCCTCTTTAACTTCTTCATTATCTGTACCATCCTGGCTAACTGTGTTCTCATGATCGTCCCCACTAGTGAGATGATTGAGTCCTCGGAGTAAGTGCTCGCACACGCATGCACGCAAACACACTACTGCTACTACTACTACTACACACACACCAACACTACTACTACTACTACACACACACCAACACTACTACTACTACTACTAATATTACTACTTGTACTACAACTACATTCACACTACTACTGCTGCTACTATTACTAGTCCTTCTACTATTACTAGTACTAACACTACTACACAGACACACCACTACTACCACACATACTACTACTACTAATACAAGTATGTATCGACAAATGCATTTGACAACTAGTAACTACTACTACTACTATTACCTACACACACACACACACACCACACACACACACACACACACACACACACACACACAATTTAAAATGTTACTAATTCTTCATAAAAAAGTGTCATTTTAAGTTATAACTTTAAACTTCAAGGTTATAATAACCCTCCATGTAAGAGTAGTTTTACTTGAGAAGTGTTGTTACTTTCCAGAGTGGTGTTCACCGCCATCTACACATTTGAGTCCGGTGTAAAGGTGATGGCGCGAGGCTTCATACTGGAGAGCTTCACCTATCTTCGTGACGCCTGGAACTGGCTTGACTTCACAGTTATATCCTTAGCGTAGGTTTACTTTTAAGGCATCATCATCACCTGAAATATTCACTCTCCTCACACATCCCTCATTTCATCATTCAGAACATTCATACCCTCACATCATTTCAGATCACCTCAACATTCACCATCTCCTCAAACATTAGTCACCTAAAACATTGTCACCTCAAGCATTTTCACTCTTCTCCAGAGGAAGCACGGTTCAACTTGTGCAGTTTTTTCATAAGGCATATTTTAAATTTTTTGCATGATAAACTAACGTAGCACTCTAACCCAGCCTTCCTTATTAACATGATCACTGGTGAAAGGTTAAAGTTGTGGATTTTTTTTCATGTAGCAGTCTATAATTCTTGCACTATAGCTAGCCTAGCACTGTAACCGAATCTCCTTTGTTAAGAAAACCATGGTTTGAACAGGGGGTTAAATAACTTGTCAACCCCTGTGTTATGCAGGCTGTACTGCCTTGTTGTGTCGAATTTATTTGTAGGTTAGCAGTATAAAATTACTTGATAAATTAGACACATGTGCAACTCTTGGGTATCTTCATTAAGGAAACGTTTCGCCACACAGTGGCTTCATCAGTCCATACACAGGAGAAACTTAAAGAACAGGAGAAGAATGAGGTAATCAATCCCTCAACCTTGAGTCGATGTGGTCAGTCCATCAATCTTGAATAGAATACCTTAATAAAGATACCCAAGAGTTGCACATGTGTCTAATTTATCAACGTGTCGGTTCACTGAACCATTCATCTACAATAAAATTAGTTGTTTATTTATTTTTTATTTTTTTTGGGGGGGGGGAAAGTGCTCTTTACACTTATAAATCATGTCGGCTACTAACTTGGTAGCATCCTCACTCTCCCCAACTATACGTACAAGTGTTTCCTTAGGATTACATAACATCCTTACTTTCCATAACTAGACTTAAAACTGTTCCCTTCAGAATAATATATAAAAGCACTGACCACTAAAGGCACTTGATTATATTTTTCTCTTATTTCGCTTATTCATTGCTCGTTTGACAAAGTGGATTTATCTTCAGGAATTTCCACTCTCAGTTTGTCTATTTCTTTTCGAAATGTATTGATGTCAGAGTTTATTTCTACGTAATTTTATTAGTTGGTTAGTTAATGAGGTTTAAAACTTATCGAGTACACGGGGGGTCATTAAGTCTCCATAGAACCATTTCACCACCAGGCAGGAATGCTTTAATATCTACAATAGTGCTGAAAGTAATTTCAAGGTTTTGGTGAAGTTGTGACCGAAACTAATGACCATAATACTAGATAATATTGAAGAAAATCCAGACGACCCTCAGCCTTCCACCTCTGCTGGACCGTCTTGTTCACGCTCAGTTGTACCAATATCTCAGTGTGTGTATGTATGTATATATATATATATATATATATATATATATATATATATATATATATATATATATATATATATATATATTTATATATTATATTTATTTATTTATAGGAGCGGTTGAAGTAAAGGGTGTGATAAAAGAGAAAAAAAGCTTATGATAGATTCTTACAAAGCAGAAGTGTTATAAGAAGAGTAGAGTATATGGTGAGTAAAAGAAAGGTAAGAGAGTGGTGAGAGAGTGCAAAAGGAGAGCAGATGATAGAGTGGGAGAGGCACGTCAAGAAATTTTAATGAAAATAAGAAAAATTTTGGAGTGAGTTAAACAAGTTAAGAAAGCCTAGGGAAAGTATGGATTTGTCAGTTAAAAACAGAGTAGGGGAGTTAGTAGATGGGGAGATGGGAGGTTTTGGGTAGATGGCGGGAATATATTAAGGAACTTTTAAATGTTGAGGAAGAAAGGGAGGCGGTAATTTCATGCACTGGCCAGGGAGGTATACCATCTTTTAGGAGTGAAGAAGAGCAGAATGTAAGTGTGGGGGAGGTACGTGAGGCATTACGTAGAATGAAAGGGGGTAAGTAAAGCAGCTGGAACTGATGGGATCATGACAGAAATGTTAAAAGCAGGGGGGGATATAGTGTTGGAGTGGTTGGTATTTTTGTTTAATAAATGTATGGAAGAGGGGAAGGTACCTAGAGGTTGGCAGAGAGCATGTATAGTCCCTTTATATAAAGGGAAGGGGGACAAAAGAGATTGTAAAAATTATAGGGGAATAAGTTTAATGAGTATACCAGGAAAAGTGTACGGTAGGGTTATTATTGAAAGAATTAAAGGTAAGACAGAGAGTAGGACTACGGATGAGCAAGGTTTTAGAGTGGGTAGGGGATGTGTAGATCAAGTGTTGACATTGAAGCATATATGTGAAGAGTATTTAGATAAAGGTAGGGAAGTTTTTATTGCATTTATGTGTTTAGAAAAGGCATATGATAGAGTGGATAGGGGAGCAATGTGGCAGATGTTGCAAGTATATGGAATAGGTGGTAAGTTACTAAATGCTGTAAAGAGTTTTTATGAGGATAGTGAGGCTCAGGTTAGGGTGTGTAGAAGAGAGGGAGAATACTTCCCAGTAAAAGTAGGTCTTGGACAGGGATGTGTAATGTCACCATGGTTGTTTAATATATTTATAGATGGGGTTGTAAAAGAAGTAAATGCTAGGGTGTTCGGGAGAGGGGTGGGATTAAATTATGGGGAATCAAATACAAAATGGGAGTTGACACAGTTACTTTTTGCTGATGATACCGTGCTTATGGGAGATTCTAAAGAAAAGTTGCAAACGTTAATGGACGAGTTTGGGAGGGTGTGTAAAGGTAGAAAGTTGAAACTGGACATAGATAAGAGTAAGGTGATGAGGCTATCAAATGATTTAGATAAAGAAAAAATGGATATCACATTGGAGAGAGGGGGTATGGAAGAAGTGAATGTTTTCAGATATTTGGGAGTTGACGTGTCAGCGGCTGGGTTTATGGAGGATGAGGTTAACCATAGAATTGATGAAGGAAAAAAAGGTGAGTGGTGCGTTTGAGGTATATGTGGATGTCAAAAAAAACGTATCTATGGAGGCAAAGAAGGAAATATATTGAAAGTTATAGTAGTTCACCAACCCTCTTATATGGGGGTGAAGCTTGGGTTGTAATTGCAGCAGCGAGGAGACGGTTGGAGGCCAGTGGAGTTGTCCTGTTTAAGGGCAATGTGTGGTGTAATTATTATGCAGGAAATTCGGGTGGTGGAAATTAGGAGAAGGTGTGAGTTAATAAAAGTATTAATCAGAGGGCTGAAGAAGGGTTGTATGAGGTGGTTTGGTCATTTAGAGAGAAGGATCAAAAGTAGAATGACATGGAGAGCGTATATATCTGTTGGAGAAGGGGAAGGCGGGCGGGGTAGGAGAGGGGTGTCCTCGAAAAGGTTGGAGGGAGGGAGTAATAAGGAGGCTTTGTGGGCGAGGAGCTTGGACTTCCAGCAAGCGTGCGTGAGGCGTGTTAGATAGGAGTGAATGGAGACTAATGGTTTTTTGGGATCTGACGAGCTGTTGAGAGTGTGAGCAGCAGGTTATATTTAGTGAGGGATTCAGGGTGAACCGGTTTAGCCTTATTAAGCCGGACTTGAGTACTGGAAATGGGAAGTACTGTGACTGCACTTTAAAGGAGGGTTTGGGGGGGGGGGATTATTGGCAGTTTGTGAGGGATATGTTTGTGTATCTTTATATATGCATTACCAAAACTGTCGTATCTGGACGCCTCTGCAAAAACAGTAGATTATGTGGGTGAGTGAGGCGAAGGTTGTTGAATGATGATGAAATTATTTTTCTTTTTGGAGATTTTCTTCTTTTTGGGTCACCCTGCCTCGGTGGGAGGACGGCCCGGCCGACCCGACTTGTTTGAAAAATAAATAATAATAAATAAGTATATATTAATATATATATTATATATATATATATATATATATATATATATATTTATATAAATATATAATATATATTATAAATTTAATATGTATTATATTATAAAGTTATATATTGTATATATATATATATATATAATATATATATAATATATATATATATATATATATATATATATTATATAGATGTCGTGCCCGAATATGTGAAACTGGTCAATTAGGAAGAACTCTGCATTTAAAAATAAGTCATTTCTAATATTTTCTCTTATACGTTTAAAGATATATTTTTTTCATTAATGTTAATGTAAAAATTTATATTTTGCAATAAAATGAATCTATAGAAAACTTATCCGAACCTGTATTATAACAAGAAACCCAATTTATTTTAGCCTAACCCAACTAAATATATTTTAGATTTGTTTAACAGTAATTTAATACTAAAAAACAGAGTGAAAAATATTTTTTTTTCGTTAGGTTCAGAATGATTTTTGGCGAAATTATTGCTTACACAAATTTTCGCTTGGTTCCTTTATGGCAAGATGAGCGTTGCTATTTAAGCCAAGATCGCAAGTATCTGCCTATTCGGCTCGGAATATATATATATATATATATATTATATATATATATATATATATATATATTGTATATATATTACTATATATATATATTATATGCAAATAGGATCACCGCTAAACAGGTGATTTCAGAATATGCAAAACAACCACTCTGAAAGAATAGAGAAATTCTAATGCGGCTTTCGTGACTACTCACATTATCAAGGAACTATTAAAGTTAAAGCATCCAAGGAATGTATATAGGGGTCCTGGCCAACACCTCATCTATCAGATCCCACAACGCGTTTTTATTTTTAAAAACACCTGACGCGCGCCGAACCCAACTGGATAGGTCCTTTGCACAACTCATCCCCACCAAACTATTCTATCCAAGAAAATTTAAAAATTATTTGTCCAGTGTAATTTTTAAAATTCTTCCCAAATTCTATTAATTATAAATGGATCTAATTTATATAAACCAAAAAAAAAATATTCATATTATTGTCAAAACTGATTTTTATGAAACAAGATTCAAAATATTCCTGTCGCCATGGACTTGCTAGATTACTACTTTCTCAACTTTTGAAAATCAATTGGATGGTTAAAAATCTCTTACATGATAAATAGTGCATTGGAATCTTGTCAGTTCTAATGCTATTTGATGTTCGTTTAATCTTGCTCCGAGATTTTTACAGTTTGACCGTTAGTATTAAACTTTATCGCAAATTTTACAAGGAATCTTATTGGACACATCCATCACTCATTTTGGGGGAATTCTTTATCAAAAGTTTTTTTTACTGTATCATTGATTTTTGATTACAACTTTAATATTAATAAGTCGTAAGAAGAGAAGGCATAGTCAACCAAGTTTCTGGTTAAGGAGGCAGAGATCCAATACATATTTTTAGTTGAATAAGGTGGTTGTCCCTTTTTGGATTGTTAAAAAGTATTTCTAGGCAAACTTTAAAAGATTTATCAATTACATTTCTTCGGGTATTTTAAAATCATACCTATTTCATAAATTTTGGATATTTCCTAATCTATGAATTCAGGATACAAATTCGTAAAGCTCTCAAAACATTGATGAGAAAACCGACAGTTTGACTCTATCTTGATGCGAGGAATAATAGTGGACATAGGAACAGTATTTGTAGGTTTTCTGTAAATTTTAATTTGAATTCAATATTACCTTTAATAATTAAAACATCTTTCAGAAGTGGTTGTTTTGCATGTAATATTTATTTTATATATATATATATATATTTTATATATATATATATAATATTATATATATTATATTTATATATTTAATTATATATTATATATATATGCACTGAGAGGTTGTATGTCTCTTAGTATATGTGCACATGGCTTATTTTAATTCCGATTTTAGGAATTAAGTCACACTACGGTACAAGTGACATATAGCCTAAAGTGACCCTCGTGAGTTGATAAGATTTACACTTGATTAGTGAACATCATATATTAATTCAGTGTTGTTATTGTGTTCCGAGCTGTGATGGTTTGTTTTTATAAGTGCACTAACCTTTACTGATGTAATGTAGCAGTTAGTCCTCTGGTAATTGTATCTCAGTGGACACTCAAGTCTTCTGCCATTTTGCTAGCCTTTGCTGACCGTATTAATGGATTGTCCTTGTTGTGGACCTACAATGGACCTGTGGTGTGCTTCTGGTGACCTTACACTGACTTGTGGTGTCCTTGTTGTGACCTACACTGACCTGTGGTGTGCTTCTGGTGACCTACACTGACCTATGGTGTCCTTGTTGTGACCTACACTGACCTGTGATGTCCTTGTGGTGACCTACACTGACCTGTGGTGTGCTTGTTGTGGACCGTACACTGGATGTGGTGTGCCTGTGGTGACCTACACTGACCTGTGGGTGCTTGTGGTGCGACCTACACTGACCTCGTGGTGGCTTGTGGTGACCTACACTGACCTGTGGTGTCCTTGTTGTGACCTACACTGACCTGTGGTGTGAATAAATAACAAAAAGGCACAATACCGTGACTGGAACGATACACAATTAACCGCACATTAAAAGAGAGAAGCTTACGACGACGTTTCGGTCCGACTTGGACCATTGACAAAGTCACGCATCATGGTCAAGTCGGACCGTAACGTCGTCGTCGAAGCTTCTTCTTATGCGCGGGTTATTTGTGTACCTGTGGTTTGTGATTGTGGTGACCTACCACTGACCTGTATGTGTGCTTGTGGTGACCTATACTGACTTGTGGTGACCTACACTGACGTGTAGTGTGCTTGTGGTGACCTATACTGACTTGTGGTGACCTATACTGACTTGTGGTGACCTACACTGACGTGTGGTGTGCTTGTGGTGACCTACACTGATCTGTGGTGTTGCTTGTGGTTTTTTTACCCTACAACTGGAAGTGTGGTGTGTTTTGCTTGTGGTGACCTACACTGACCTGTGGTGTGCTTGTGGTGACCTACACTGACCTGTGGTGTCCTTGTGACCTACACTGACCTGTGGTGTCCTTGTGGTGACCTACACTGACCTGTGGTGTCCTTGTGGTGACCTACACTGGCCTGTGGTGTCCTTGTGGTGACCTACACTGACCTGTGGTGTGCTTGTAGTGACCTACACTGACCTGTAATGTGTGCTTATGGTGACCTACACTGACCTGTTGTGTGCTTGTGGTGACCTACACTGATCTGTGGTGTGCTGTGGTGACCTACACTGACCTGTGGTGTGCTTGTAGTGACCTACACTGACCTGTAGTGTGCTTGTGGTGACCTACACTGACTTGTAATGTGTGCTTGTGGTGACCTACACTGACCTGTGGTTGTGGTGTGCTGTGGTGACCTTCACTGACCTGTGGTGTGCTTGTGGTGACCTACACTGACCTGTGGTGCGCTGTGGTGACCTACACTGACCTGTATTATCCTCCCTCAGGTACGTAACGATGGGTATAGATCTGGGCAACTTGGCCGCCCTGAGAACATTCCGTGTGTTAAGAGCGCTGAAGACCGTGGCTATTGTGCCAGGTGAGTAGTTATGCCCACACCCAAACCTTAATCCATTATCCAGTCCACATCCACGGGCCGCATCCACGCCCACACGGTCACATCCACACCACGCGTCCACATCCACGTCATATCCCCCCCCCCCCCCCCCCCAAAAAACGTCCACATCCACGCCCACGTCCACATCCACACCCACGTCCACATCCACGTCCCACATCCACGTCTACCACATCCACGCCCACGTTCACCGTCCACAATTCCAAACCCACGTCCACACATCCACGTCCCACATCCTCGCCCCACGTCCAATCCACACCCACGTCCACATCCACGTCCACGCCCACGTCAACGCCCACAGTAATATTAACACCATAAATACATTGTACCCACAACACCATATGGTTGGTAGGTTGGTAGACAGCAACCACCCAGGGAAGTACTACCGTCCTGCCAGATGACTGTGAAACAGAAACCTGTAACTGTTTTGCAGGGATGGTAGGATTGCTGGTGTCTTTTTCTGTCTCATAAACACGCTAGATAACAGGGATATCTTGCTACTCCAACTTACACTTTGGTCACACTTCACAGACACGCACATGCATATATATATACATACATCTAGGCTTTTCTCCATTTTCTACATAGCTCTTGTTCTTCTTTATTTCTTCTATTGTCCATGGGGAAGTGGAAAAGAATCTTTCCTCCGTAAGCCATGCTTTGTCGTATGAGGCGACTAAAATCCCGGGAGCAATGGGCTAGTAACCCTTCTCCTGTAGACATTTACTAAAAAAGAAAAGAAGAAAATTTATAAAACTGGGATGCTAAATGTGCGGGGGATGTAGTGCAGATGACAAGAAACAGATGATTGCTGATTTTGAATGAAAGAAGTTGGATGTCCTGGCCCTAAGTGAAAAAAAGCTGAAGGGGGGTTAGGGGAGTTTCGGAGGGGGGAAATAAATGGGATTAAATCTGGAGTATCTGAGGGGGTTAGAGCAAAGGAAGGGGTAGCAGTAATTGTTGAATGATCAGTTATGGAAGGAGAAAAGAGAATATGAATGTGTAAATGCAAGAATTAGTGGATAAAGTAAAGGTTGGATGCGAAGAAGTGGGTCATAATAAGCGTGTATGCACCTGGAGAAGAGAGGAATGCAGAGGAGAGAGAGAGATTTTGGAGATGTTAAAGGGGAATGTATAGGAGCCTTTGAACCAAGTGAGAGAGTAATTGTGGTAGGGGACCTGAATGCTAAAGTAGGAGAAACTTTTAGAGAGGGTGTGGTAGGTAAGTTTGGGGGGCCAGGTGTAAATGATAATGGGAGCCCTTTGATTGAACTTTGTATAGAAGGGGTTTAGTTATAGGTAAAACAAATTTTAAGAAAGAGGATAAAATTAAGTATACAAGATATGATGTAGGGCGAAATGACAGTAGTTTGTTGGATTATGTATTGGTAGATAAAAGACTGTTGAGTAGACTTCAGGATGTACATGTTTATAGAGGGGCCACAGATATATCAGATCCACTTTCTATTTGTAGCTACACTGAGAGTAAAAGGTAGATGGGGATACAAGGAGAATAGAAGCATCAGGAGAAGAGAGGGGTTTGAAGGTTTATAACTAAAAGAGGAGGCAGTTAGGGAAAGATATAAACAGCTATTGGAGGATAGATGAAGCTAATGAGAGCATAGGCAATGGGGTCGAAGAGGTATGGGGTAGGTTTAAAATTTTAGTGTTAGAGTGTTCAGCAGAAGTTTGTGGTTACAGGAAAGTGGGGTGCGGGAGGGAGACGAGCGATTGTTGGAATGATGATTTTAAAGAGAGTAGTAAGGGAGAAAAATTTTAGCATATGCGAAGTTTTTACAAAGTAGAAGTGATGCAAGGAGGGAAGAGTATATGGAGAAAAAGAGAGAGGTTAAGAGAGTGGTGAAGCAATGTAAAAGAGAGGCAAATGAGAGAGTGGGTGAGATGTTATCAACAAATTTTGTTAAAAATAAGAAAAAGTTTTGGAGTGAGATTAACAAGTTAAGGAAGCCTAGAGAACAAATGGATTTGTCAGTTAAAAATAGGAGGGGGAGAGTTATTAAATGGAGAGTTAGAGGTATTGGAAGATGGAGGGAATATTTTGCGGAATTGTTAAATGTTGATGAAGATAGGGAAGCTGTGATTTTTGTGTATAGGACAAGGAGGAATAACATCTTGTAGGAGGAGGAAGAGCCAGTTGTGAGTGTGGGGGAAGTTCGTGAGGCATAGGTAAAATGAAAAGGGGTAAGGCAGGCCGGGATTGATGGGATAAAGATAGAAATGTTAAAAGCAGGTGGGGATATAGTTTTGGAGTGGTTGGGTTTCAATTATTTAATAAATGTATGGAAGAGGGTAAGGTACTAGGGATTGGCAGAGAGCATGCATAGTTCCTTTGTATAAAGGCAAAGGGGGACAAAAGAGAGTGCAAAATTATAGGGGGATAAGTCTGTTGAGTATACCCGATAAAGTGTATGGTAGAGTTATTATTGAAAGAATTAAAAGTAAGACGGAGAATAGGATAGCAGATGAAAAAAGGAGGCTTTAGGAAAGGTAGGGGGTGTGTGGACCAGGTGTTTACAGTGAAACATATAAGTGAACAGTGTTTAGATAAGGCTAAAGAGGTCTTTGTGGCATTTATGGATTTGGAAAAGGCGTATGACAGGGTGGATAGGGGGCAATGTGGCAGATGTTGCAGGTGTATGGTGTAGGAGGTAGGTTACTGAAAGCAGTGAAGAGTTTTTACGAGGATAGTGAGGCTCAAGTTAGAGTACATAGGAAAGAGGGAAATTATTTCCCAGTAAAAGTAGGCCTTAGACAGGGATGTGTGATGTCGCCGTGGTTGTTTAATATATTTATAGATGGGGTTGTAAGAGAAGTAAATGCGAGGGTCTTGACAAGAAGCGTGGAGTTAAAAGATAAGGAATGACACATAAAGTGGGAGTTGTCACAGTTGCTCTTTGCTGATGACACTGTGCTCTTGGGAGATTCTGAAGAGAAGTTGCAGAGATTGGTGGATGAATTTGGTAGGGTGTGCAAAAGAAGAAAATTAAAAGTGAATACAGGAAAGAGTAAGGTTATGAGGATAACAAAAATATTAGGTGATGAAAGATTGGATATCAGATTGGAGGAGAGAGTATGGAGGAAGTGAATGTATTCAGATATTTGGGAGTGGACGTGTCAGCGGATGGGTCTATGAAGGATGAGGTGAATCATAGAATTGATGAGGGGAAAAGGGTGAGTGGTGCATTTAGGAGTCTGTGGAGACAAAGAACTTTGCCTTGGAGGCAAAGAGGGGAATGTATGAGAGTATAGTTTTACCAAACACTCTTATATGGGTGTGAAGCATGGGTGATGAATGTTGCAGCGAGGAGAAGGCTAGGAAGCATTGGAGATGTCATGTCTGAGGGCAATGTGTGGTGTGAATATAATGCAGAGAATTCGTAGTTTGGAAGTTAGGAGGAGGTGTGGGATTACCAAAACTGTTGTCCAGAGGGCTGAGGAAGGGTTGTTGAGGTGGTTCGGACATGTAGAGAGAATGGAGCGAAACAGAATGACTTCAAGAGTGTATCAGTCTGTAGTGGAAGGAAGGCGGGGGTAGGGGTCGGCCTAGAAAGGTTGGAGGGAGGGGGTAAAGGAGGTTTTGTGTGCGAGGGGCTTGGACTTCCAGCAGGCGTGCGTGAGCGTGTTTGATAGGAGTGAATGGAGACGAATGGTTTTTTAATACTTGACGTGCTGTTGGAGTGTGAGCAAAGTAACATTTATGAAGGGGCAGGCCGGACTTGAGTCCTGGAGATGGGAAGTACAGTGCCTGCACTCTGAAGGAGGGGTGTTAATGTTGCAGTTTAAAAACTGTAGTGTAAAGCACCCTTCTGGCAAGACAGTGATGGGTGAATGATGGTGAAAGTTTTTCTTTTTCGGGCCACCCTGCATGGTGGGAATCGGCCAGTGTGATAATAATATATATATATATATATATATATATATATATATATATATATAATAATATATATATATATATATTATAATATATATATATATATCTTACAGAATAGATATAATATAATATTTATTAACTGATTTATTACAAAATCCATATTTTCTATAATTTTTTAAGTTTCAGTAAATATGAAAAATAACAACCCTTGAGTTGTATGTGTGTCCTAATTGTGGTTGCAGTGTGCTAATTACAGCTCCTGGCCCCGCCTCTTCATTGGTCGCTACTAGGTCACTTTCTCCCTGCTCCGTGAGCTTTATGATACCTCTTCTTAAAGCTATGTATATATCCTGCCTCCACTACATCACTCTTCAGATTGTTCCACTTTCTGACAACTCTATGACTGAAGAAATACTTCCTAACATCCCTGTGATTCATCTGAGTTTTCAACTTCCAGTTGTGACCCCTTGTTGCTGTGTCCCATCTCTAAAACATTCTGTCCCTCTCCACCCTGTCAATTCCTCTCAGCATTTTGCATGTTGCTATCATTTCCCCCCTATCCCTCCTGTCTTCCAGTGTTGTCAGGTTGAGTTCCCTTAACCTCTCGTCGTAGGACAAACACCTCAGTTTCGGGACTAGTCTTGTTGCAAACCTTTGCACTTTCACAAATTTTCTTACCTACTTAGCTAGGTATGGGTTCCAAACTGATGCTGCATACTTCAATATGAGCCTGACGTACATGGTGTACAGAGTCGTAAATGACTCCTTACTTACATTTCGAAACGCTATTCTCAGGTGTGCCAGGCGCCCGTATGCTACTGCAGTTATTTGGTTGATGTGCGCCTCAGAAGATGTACTCGGTGTGATGCTCACCCCAAGATCCTTTTCCTTGAGTGAGTTTTGCGGCCTTTGACCTCTTAGGCTGTATTCCGTCTGCGGTCTCCTTTGTCTTTCCCCAATCTTCATAACTTTGCACTTGCTGGGGTTAAACTCTAGGAACCATTTGTCAGAGCAGGCTTTCAGCCTGTCCAGATTCCCTTGTAGGGTTAACCTTATCCTCTTCTCCTTGTATTCTTCTCATTAATTTTGCATCGTCTGCAAACAGGGGCACCTCTGACTATTTTTTCCGTCATGTCATTCAAATACACATGAAACAGCACCGAACCTAGGACTGATCCTTGTGGAACCCCACTCGACACATTCACCCACTCTAACACCTCGTCTCGGACCAACACACGTTGTTTCCTTCCTATAAGGTATTCCTCGTTCCTACCTGTTTCTCTAGTTTTTCAATCAGTCTCCTGTGTGGAACTGTGTCGAAAGCCTTCTTACAGCCCCAGAAGATGCAGTCTACCCATCCCTCTCTCTTCTGTCTTACTTCTGTTACCTTGTCATAGAGCTCCAATAAGTTCATGATGCAGGATTTCCCTTCCCTGAAGCCGTGCTGGTTGTCTTGTATTAGTCCATTCCGTTCTAGGTGCTCCACCACTTTTTTCCTCACAATCTTCTCCATAACTTCACATACATGTCAGCGACACTGGTCTGTAGTTTAGCGCAGCTTATCTGTCTCCTTTCTTGAAAATCGGGACTACATTTGCTGTCTTCCACTCCTTGGGCAGTTTTGCATTGTTTCGATAGATTAATTGAAGATTTTTGTTAGTGGCACACACTACATATGCTCCCTCTCTCAGGACCCAAGGAGAGATATCTGGGTCCACCTCTTCGAGGTATCTAGTTCTCTTAGTAGTTCTTTCACCTCATCCTGGGTGTGTGCAGTGTGTCCAGCACTTGCTGGTGTACCCTATCACCTCGGTTTTGTGGGAGCCTCTCTGTCTCTACTGTGAATACTTCCCTGAATCTTGAGCTGAGCTCTTCGCATACTTCCTGGTCGTTTCCTGTGAGCTCCCCTCCTTCCTCAACCTGATCACCTGATTCTTGACTGTTGTTTTCCTCCTGATGTGGCTGTATATCAACTTTTTTTTGTGCATGTTAGTAACTTAATATGGGATAACTGAATGTGTATTCACCTGATTGTACGTGGAGGGTGGTAAGGGTGATGGGGGGTTTGATCCCATTCCCTGGGTGCTAGGTGACCCCTATGGATTTATCGCTTCCCTGTTAATATAATAACACAAACAATCTCTCCTCAGGTCTGAAGACGATCGTTGGAGCTGTGATAGAGTCGGTCAAGAACCTCCGAGATGTGATCATTCTGACTGTGTTTTCCCTGTCCGTTTTTGCCTTACTTGGACTTCAGATATATATGGGAGTATTGACCCAAAAGTGTGTCAGAAAGTTTGATTTTACTAAAGAGAATTGGACACACGAAGATTACTTCAATTTTAACAGCAATGGATGTAAGTAAAGGGAAGCCTGTGCTGGTGCTGTGCAAACTCCCAATTGTAAGGAGAAGGTTAGGGTTGCACCTCCTGCTTGCTCAACATCCCCTAATTCACGTGCAGTTATTTAAAACTAAGTTTCAGTGTTCCTTATGTAAGGCTGGGGACAGTTTATTCTTGACGTGCAAATCTCCATGGGATGTAAAGGTTTCTGACTTGTTGCTATTAAAATAGAGTGTTTTGTTGGCGAACATAGGTGCTGCCCTATCCTCCACCTCTCGCTCATTCCATGTAAGTCCAAAAAAAAAGGCAAAAAAAAAAAAGAAGCGTGTAGAAAGTATCCTCGACGGTGTACACAGGTGTGTGGATAAAAAAAAATGAGTCTGTGCGGAGGTGTACACAAACTGTGGCGAGCAGGTGAGCTGCAGTTGTCTGTGAAAACCCACACAAGTGAGGATGAGGAGGAAGGTGGATGTAGAGGTATTTGAGTGCATGAAGAGTGGGAGCGTCACTCAAGGTGAGTAGTATCCTCCTGTTTACCCTCATAAATCTCATCACATTTACTCAGTGATCTATGCTGCTAACACATAACAATATTTCAGTGCTCTTGTTTTATTCCTGTAAAAAAAATACATAATCATCTCTTAATATATTCACTGACAAATAAGTTGATATAAATTAAATATATATGTCGTGCCGAAGAGGTAAGACTTCCGATTTTGGCAATCTAAAATTTGTGTATGCAATAATTTCGCAAAAATCATTCTGAACCTAAATATATTTCATCGTGTTTGTTATTAAACTATTGTAAACTTATCTAAAATACATTTAGTTGGATTTGGCTAAATTAAATTGCGCTTGTTATAATAAGTTTAGGTAAGTTTTCTAAACTTCATTTGGTACAAAATTATCAATTCTAACGTTAACATAAATAAAAAAAAAATCTATCTTTAAATGTATAAGAGAAAATTTTAGAAAGGACTTAATTTTAAATGATTCTTGCTAATTGACCAATTTTACCTAATCGGCACAACAAATATATTACATGACTTCCCTTTCTTCCTATATTTCTTTGAGAATGTTTTCATTATCTTATAATGTAGCTAGCAGAGAGGGTAAGTCATCAGTAGAGAGGATATCTAAAATTGGTAACCTAGCTGAAATGTACGATTATAAGCCTAGTAACTCGAGCACTCGAGTTACTCCGTCTTATTAACCCACTGGATTTGTTTTTGGGTAGGCTTTCCTGTCTTGTTTCCTTATTAATCTAACTGACTTTCTAAGTTGTTAATCTTACTGAATTGTTAGTTATGAATCAAACGGACTTGACACGTGATAACTAATTGACTAGTTAAGTTATAACTGACTTGTTCTGCTGTTACTCTGACTTACACTGTTATAGATCTGACACTCAGTATATTACAAAAAATTACCGACTGTTAATTATTGTTGCAGACTTATATAAACAGTGGCCTCTCCCCCCCCCTAGGTAAAACACCCTTGTGTATTTATGATAAATTTGCCATATTTTAGTGCTGTATTTATGATAAATTTCCTGTATTTTAGAGCTGTATTTATGACAGATTTGTAACATTTGCCTTGTCTGTACCTGAAGAGAGAGTAAGAGAACTTAGTTTCAATTTTAGGTGTTGGTGGGTAGTTGCAGAACGCAGTCGTGGAGAAAGATGTGTTGAGGTGTTATAGCTGTGAGAGGAAGTATAGTGTTGAACCTTCCGTTGTGAGTTAATACCCAGTTCTGAAGTGACTCACTCAGTACTGTAGTGACTGACTACAGTACTGTAGTGACTGACTACAGTACTGTAGTTACTGACTCCAGTACTGTAGTGACTGACTACAGTACTGTAGTTACTGACTCCAGTACTGGAGTGACTGTCCCCAGTACTGTAGTGACTGACTACAGTACTGTAGTGACTGACTATAGTACTGTAGTGACTGACTACAGTACTGTAGTGACTGGCTCCAGTACTCAGATGACTGACTAAATTACTGTAGTGATTGACCGAGGAGGAGGAGGTAGTGTACAAGTGAGAAGGTAAAGGTAGTGTACAATGAGGAGGTGGAGGTAGTGTACAATGAGGAGGTGGAGGTAGTGTACAATGAGGAGGTGGAGGTAGTGTACAAGTAAGGAGGTGGTAGTGTACAGGTGAGGAGGAAGAGGTATCTTACAAGTGAGAAGGTAGAGGTATGTACAAGTGAAGAGGTGGAGGTAGTGTACAAATGAGGAGGTCGAGGTAGTGTACAAGTGAGGATGAACAGGTAGTGTACAAGTGAGGAGGTGGAGGTAGTGGATAAGTGAGGAGGTGGAGTTAGTGTACAAATGAGGAGGTCGAGGTAGTGTACAAGTGAGGAGGTGGAGGTAGTGTACAAGTCAGGATGAGCAGGTAGTGTACAAGTGAAGAGGAGCAGGTAGTGTACAAGTGAGGAGGAGCAGGTAGTGGACAAGTGAGGAGGAGCAGGTAGTGTACAAGTGAGGAGGAGCAGGTAGTGGACAAGTGAGGAGGAGCAGGTAGTGTACAAGTGAGGAGGAGCAGGTAGTGTACAAGTGAGGAGGAGCAGGTAGTGTACAAGTGAGGAGGTGGAGGTAGTGTACAAGTGAGGATGAGCAGGTAGTGGACAAGTGAGGAGGTGGAGGTAGTGTACAAGTGAGGAGGTGGAGGTAGTGTATAAGTGAGGAGGAGCAGGTAGTGTACAAGTGAGGAGGTGGAGGTAGCGTACAAGTGAGGAGGTGGAGGTAGTGTACAAGTGAGGATGAGCAGGTAGTGTACAAGTGAGGAGGAGCAGGTAGTGGACAAGTGAGGAGGTGGAGGTAGTATACAAGTGAGGAGGAGGAGGTAGTGTATAAGTGATTAGGAGCAGGTAGTGTACAAGTGAGGAGGTGGAGGTAGTGTACAAGTGAGGATGAGTAGGTAGTGTACAAGTGAGGAGGAGCAGGTAGTGGACAAGTGAGGAGGTGGAGGTAGTGTACAAGTGAGGAGGAGCAGGTAGTGTACAAGTGAGGAGGTGGAGGTAGTGTACAAGTGAGGATGAGTAGGTAGTGTACAAGTGAGGAGGTGGAGGGAGTGTACAAGTGAGGATGAGCAGGTAGTGTACAAGTGAGGAGGTGGAGGGAGTGTACAAGTGAGGATGAGCAGGTAGTGTACAAGTGAGGAGGAGCAGGTAGTGGACAAGTGAGGAGGTGGAGGTAGTGTACAATTGAGGAGGTGGAGGTAGTGTACAAGTGAGGAGGTGGTGTACTAGTGAGGAGGTGGTGTACAACTAATGAGGTAATGTACAAGTGAGGATGAAGTAGTGTACAAGTAACGAGGACATGGAGATCAGGGAGGCATGAGGTAGAGTTAAGAATGCAGTACAAAACTGGCAGCACAATTTTGTGGATATAGGATGGTGGGCGCCGGGGGAAAGACATGGAATGATGAGGTGAGGGGAGAGAAAGTTAGCATGTGAGAGGGATTTATACAGTGTAGAAATGATACACAGAAGGCTGAGTGTATGGACAGGAAGAGAAACAAGAGAGAGAGTTTAAAGGAGTTGTAAAGAGGCCTAAAAGACGTTTTACTGTTGCAAGATCATAGGTGGAGGTAGTGGCAAAATAATAGTAGTCGATGTGAGGTACTGGCAAATGACTATGTAGATGGAGGTACTGGCAAGATGATAGATGGAGGTACTGGCAATATGATAGATGGAGGTCCTGGCAAGATAGAAGATGGAGGTACTGACAAGATGATAAATGGAGGTACTGGCAAGATGATAGTTGGAGGTACTGGCAAGATGATAGATGGAGGTACTGGCAAGATGATAGGTGGAGGTACTGGAAAGATGATAGGTGGAGGTACTGGCAAGACGATAGGTGGAGGTACTGGCAAGATGGTAGGTGGAGGTACTCGCTAGATGGTAGATGGAGGTACTGGCAAGATGATAAATGGAGGTACTGGCAAGATGGTAGGTGGAGGTACTGGCAAGATGATAAGTGGAGGTACTGACGAGATGGTATATGGAGGTACTGGCAAGATGACAGGTCTAGGTACTGGCAAGATGACAGGTCTAGGTACTGGCAAGATGGTAGATAGAGGTACTGGCAAGATGGTAGGTGGAGGTACTGGCAACATGGTAGGTGCAGGTACTGGCAAGATGATAGGTGGAGGCACTGGCAAGATGATAGGTGGAGGTACTGGCAAGATGATAGGTGGAGGTACTGGCAAGATGATAGGTGGAGGTACTGGCAAGATGGCAGATGGAGTTACTGGCAAGATGATAGGTGGAGGTACTGGCAAGATGGTAGATGGAGGTACTGGCAAGATGATAGGTGGAGGTACTGGCAAGATGGTAGATGGATGTACTGGCAAGATGATAAGTGGAGGTACTGGCAAGATGAATAGGTGGTGGAGGTACTGGCAAGATGATAGGCAGATGGTAAGACTGGCAAGAATGACAGGTGGAGGTACTGGCAAGATGGTAGATGGAGGTACTGGCAAGATGATAGGTGGAGGTACTGGCAAGATGGTAGATGGATGTACTGGCAAGATGATAAGTGGAGGTACTGGCAAGATGGTAGATGTAGGTACTGAAAAGATGATAGGTGGAGGTACTGGCAGGATGATTAGTGGAGGTACTGGCAAGATGATAAGTGGAGGTACTGGCAAGATGATAGGTGGAGGTACTGGCAAGATGATAGGTTGAGGTACTGCCAAGATGGTAAGTGGAGGTACTGGCAAGATGGTAGATGGAGGTACCGGCAAGATGATAGGTGGAGGTACTGGCAAGATGATAAGTGGAGGTACTAGCAACATGGTAGGTGGAGGTACTGGCAAGGTGATAGGTTGAGGTACTGGCAAGATGATAGATGGAGGTACTGGCAAGATGATAGATGGAGGTACTGGCAAGATGATAGGTTGAGGTACTGGCAAGATGATAGGTGGAGGTACTGGCAAGATGGTAGATGGAGGTACTGGCAAGATGATAGGTTGAGGTACTGGCAAGATGATAGGTGGAGGTACTGG